GATTACTCAATGCTAAGTAAAATACATTACTCTCACAGGTACACACAGACACGCACAGCAACATGTCACGCTGGCGTTTACGGGATTACTCAATGCTAAGTAAAATACATTACTCTCACAGGTCCACACAGACTCGCACAGCGACATGCCATGCTGGCGTTTGCGGGATTACTCAATGCTAAGTAAAATACATTACTCTCACAGGTGCACACAGACACGCACAGCAACATGCCACGCACACGTTTGCCTTTCTATGCCTACGCTGATGCCACCTACGTTCCGCTACCCACTCGGCATATGCCACCTATCCAGTTTATTTCCTAAATCTACCGCCTATGGATATACCGATCCTTCCCCTTCTCCGCCACACTCGCACAGGCAACCCGCAGCTGGCCCAGTACTCGTCCTTATCCTCACAGGCACAGAACACCCCCACTATCAATCTCATACCAACGTCAAGCAACGAGCCATCTCCCAACACCTTTGTACTGCGATTCTTTGTGGCGCCTCTGACCGGCGCGTGTCCTGAACGCACAGCCGAGACAGCCGCAGAAATGTAAGTGCTGTGAGTGGGCAGAGTGTAGAGAGACATGTGTCACATGCGTAGCCCCCCTCCCCCCCGGCCTTATGTGGGCAGTGTTCAATAGCGTCTGTTGTTGTGTGGGTAGTTGTTATTATCGTCTGCCCTTGTGTAGTTATATTTCGATATCGCCTCTTGTTACATCGCCCGTATGTTACCCTTTAGAGGTATCACCGTGTGGCGTCTTTCTTGACATCTGTTGTTTGTGACGCGTTTCTTGACACCTGTTGTTGTATCATTGCTCTCGCAGTGTTTATGGTTTATCTAGACTTGGAGAGTGCGGGAAAGTGCCATGGGGCAGGCTAAGATCACAGCCCCGTGCTTGAGTTCTGTTCACCTCATACTACAGTGTATATATTTGTTCATCGATACCACGGTATATATTTGTTCATTGATACTGCAAGCAATGTAAGTTGCAGAACGGGTCGCAGTTTGCACAGCATTGTTCTTGAATACGCTGACATGTACCAACACTGATGAGTTTCCCCGCGTCTCTCTATTAGTAAAGCTGCACAGGCTAAGCTGTGTCTGGACTGGCTTGACAACCTCGTGGAAGTGCAGGAGATAGCACTGAACTACAAGCCTTTCTACATGTTCCACACAACGTCTGTAGACGGCAGGCGCTTGCTGCTGTTGTGTGGCAGTGACCATCGCGTTCACATATACGGCCGCCCGGATGTCTCAGAGAAGGACGGCCAGGATTTGGATGGTGTGATTGTTCTATTCCTTATGTCTTTTTATTTTGTGGGGTGAGGCATTTATATGGTTATTCTGCATATATACCAGAGCAATTTATATATATATATATATATATATATATATATATATATGTATGTATGTATATATATATATATATATATATATATATATATATATATAATAGATATATATATATATATATATATATATATATATATATACATATAGTGTGTGTGTGTGTGTGTGTGTAGT